TTATATATATATATAATTAAAATTGGTAGAAAGAAGTAGAAAATTCAAAACAAGATGTCTCCACGACTGTATGAAGTTACAAAGAACATAATATAACAAAGAAGATGATATATTGTTATTAACTTACAGCTGTATGTAACCTTATATTGCAAAATATATTGCTACCATCCATTTATAAATAATCATCTCATAAAACCCTAAACAAGGAAAATGTTTTATAAAACTACAGACCTATTAAGTTTACTATCACACATTTACAAACTTTTTACAAGTTCTTCAGAATAGACTAGTAAATGTTTTAGATGCCAGCCAACCTAGAGAACAAGTTGGAATTAGTAAATAATACTCCACAACTGTCCATTTACAAGCCATTGTTTGGCAAATTCTGAAAACAAATGAATAACAACTAACTCCGTGCTTTATTCTATAAACCCTTTTTGATGACCTTTTATGTGTCACTAAGAAGAAGAAGCATTACAGAAGCATGTGTTCAGATGAAATAGTCAGAATACATAGAGATAATAATGAGTCTGAGACAGTAAGAAATATAAGGAGTTAAACAAAGAGACTCATCTTACCCACAACGATTAGAGCAAGACAAGAATGTGTGCTTCAAAAGGAAAACCTAGAAAGTTAAGAATTTTTTATCCAAGGAGAAGAGCTGGCAGACTTCAGATTTGCAGACGATGTGCTGGAAGACGTAGAGGATCAGAATAACAGTTTAAGTTTAAATAAACAACACATCGAGCCATGAGAATTTCACTAAAACCCAATAAACATTAAAAGGGACAAAACCGGACACATATAGAGATAGACAAAAGAACAAGTGGGCTGGACATCAAGAACAAATGGACAGAATGAATAATGGAGTAGCAACAGGTGAGCTGGACATCAAGAACAAATGGACAGAATGAATAATGGAGTAGCAACAGGTGAGCTGGACGTAGATCAAGATGGGCAAAAGGAACAACAGAACTGAAACAATTGGAACATCATCTATATGTGTCATTATCAAGAATTAAATCAACAGAACCACCACACAGTAAGCTACATTCGCTATAACTGCATCAATAGAACCGAAACAACTGGAGAATCATTCAACATGTGACATTCTCAAGGTCTGAATTACAGGACCAGACATCAGTCGATGTTCTCAAGGTCTGAATTACAGGACCAGACATCAGTCGATGTTCTCAAAGTCTGAATTACAGTACCAAACATCAGTCGATATCCTCAATGTCTGAATGAAAGGACCAGACATCAGTCAATATTCTTAAAGATGTAGTTGATACGAAAACAATAACAAAATCAGACATTAAATGAAGTTTGTTCCGATTTTCTATAAGTGTATGCCTACACCATGGAGGTTTATTGCTCTCTCTTTTTCCATGGAATATTTTAATTATATCACACTCTTAACAATTAAATTCCATAAAGTCTTAAATATAGTACTGTCCAAATTATGATCTTGTTATTATTTTAAACAAGATATAGGTTTACAATTTTACGAAAATATACAATAATTATTCAAGTTAAATGCTCATAAGATAATATTGTAAAATTATTTCAATCGAAAGAGCATTTAAACGAGGGTAATAGAATCTTAATTTCTTAATCACCGTAAAAAACAGGTGAAATTCACTTAGAACTCATATTGAATTTCATTAATTACAAATTTGCATTTGACTTTAATTAGGTGATGGGAAAGAGTGATCACATTACGAAGTACAAAAAAAAATGGAGTTCAGCTTCTTTTGTGCTATTCTTTAAAGTTTAATGCCTTTTCTAGGCACATTTCTACCAATTTTATTTAACAGGGGGCATTTTAATTTTAACATTACATATCGTATTGTTCCATCATGTTTATGTGATATACGATGCCACTTCCAGAACTAGTACCTATATGTTGGAACTAATTACTCGCGACTTTATAACCCAGCTCGTTCTATTCTTTCGTATGGAGGTGGAGCGATGCTGGCATCAAAAGCAGGAGGAAGTACGCTGAGACCGGTGCCCTAAAGAGATTGAAGATTGTTTCAGTTACATTTTCATTTCAGGTTCTTTCAAATAAGCATGTATTAATAAAGGAAAATATTTACATAAAGATGAGCAGAGATAAGTTAAGGGTGTTTATACTGTTGAATATAAAACAGCTTTGAAAAATTTCTAACGTTGCTACATCCATGGATTTTGTTCAGGACTAGGTTGATGTTAAATGTGTATACTTTAATAATACGATTCACAAACCTGCGGGTTTTTCACGACTGTAGTGATTTTAATTGTTTATGGTTTAATAATATGACATAAAACTCCACGGAGTTTTAATCACGACTGTACTGATTTTAATTGTTTATGGTTTAATAATATGACATAAAACACCACGGAGTTTTAATCACGACTGTACTGATTTTAATTGTGAGTTTTATTCAAGACTGTGTTATTTTTAGACAACTAACGTTAAAATAACACTAGACTTTGTAATTTAAGATAGATTGGGTTAAACTCTAACATAGTGATCTTTAGTTCAAATGAACAATATACTTACATGTAGTTGTACAGCTTCTTCGTAAGACGGTGGCGGTTTCTCAGAATAAGCAGTTGAAGGAGGTAGAGGAAGTACTCTTAGATCTGCAGTTAATGGAGCATCTGCAAACTGTCTTTCTACTATAGTTGATAACTGAAGTCTGGCAGAAGCCGTTGTAGTAAACAGTCGTCTCTGTTCTTTCCACTTCTTCCTGGTATACAAAATCCGCATTAAAACTTTTCAGAAAGAAATGTATGCAATCAATAACAACTTCTTTAAGTTAACACATTTACCAAATAGTTCGGCTTTACTTTACTGAGTAGTTACACGTTCATGTATTTAACAGGGCCCTCAAGAGCCAGTGGGGGACATTTTTGTTTTTAAAAAAAACAATAAAATTACTCAATCCGGTTTTTCTAAATTTGAACTGAAATTTTTTGGATATGTTTAATGGCTAAAAAGAAGACATTTTCCGCAGTCTTTTAGCGTTTGGGGCCGTGAAAAGTGATTTGAAGTGGTAAGGTGACTGAAATCCATCAGCGAATCACGAGCTTAATGGCCAAGCACAAGAAGCATGGAAGTCTCCAAATGACAGGCAGAGGTATTTAGAAACCGTTTAGAACCACCCTGGTAGATATTGTGCAGCAAGTCGAGTACAATATTATGCCTGTAGCTGCTGTAGGCACCAGAAGTAAAGTGTGTGAATTACTGGGATTTATAGCGTGTGTTATAAAGGTTGTTAAGTTAAAGTGACTGTGGAAATTCTGTGTATTACTGAAAGTTGTATCGAGATAGAATAAACAGGTTTAATAAGAAAGGTCTTATATCACTGAAGTTCCTCGGAAATAATTTCTACCGGAAATTAACAAACAAGCAAATACGCAACAATATTTAACACATTGTAGTGTAAAGACACCCCTTAGCTCCTGATGTACGTGTTAATTTAGTGTATATTTTGAGTAGCTGAAGATTAATTTATTTAAAATATATACATTCTGTGTAATTATAGATTAATTTATTTAAAATATATACATTCAGTGTAATTATAGATTAATTTATATAAAATATATACATTCAGTGTAATTATAGATTAATTTATTTAAAATATATACATTCAGTGTAATTATAGATTAATTTATTTAAAATATATACATT